GGCAGCCAAGGCAGGCTGGCTGCCAGCAATGTGTGGGTTGTTCTTGAGTTTTGGTGGGGACCGATGCTTGGTGGCCTTGCTTGGGGAGCAAGGGGATTCCCCCCCTTAGTGGTCCTCACCTACCTTTGCTCACCTTTTGCCTCTCGTAGCTTGGTGGTTGAATTGCATTTTATTTTTTTTTTCTTTAAAATAAAATAGTGGAAAATGCAAATCGCCCACATTGATGGGAGAATGGAGATCAAGTTTCCATTCCCTATAAATACCCAAGTTTTGGGTTTTGGGACGAACACTTGAGTTGAGCTCAATAAGGCATCTCCGTATAGGTGAGAAAACCTTTTAGTTAGTAATACTCTAGTCTTTTCTTGGTCTAGCCCCGACTAACCTTCGGGGTAGAGGCCGTTCGGGTCGGGTCTCGAGGGTGGACTCCGTCGGTGGCACTCACGTTTGCGGAGCTAAGGGTTTGAAGTCCGAGCTTTATAGGAACGAAGCATGCATCAAGGGTAAGAATGTCTTTTCTCTTTCTCTCTTTTATGTTCTTAATTATGTGATTAAATATTTAGTTTCTTTAATTAGTGAGCGGGTCTTGGGCGGGTTTCACTTTCGCGTAACGTTGGACGTTACGAAACTCAACAATTTTTTCTATGGCTTGTAATTAAACAATGGTTGTTTCTCATGCTTTTAAACATACTTTTTATCTATGGTGTTGGACACCAAGTTACTTTGATCGCAAGACTTAATCAATGGTTGGTTTTTTGAATTGTCTTGTTTATATGTTCTATAAAATTGCATGTTTTACGTACATTTAGATAATTTAATGATACTGCCAAAAGAGCTAAAACCATTGAGTCGAATCAAACCTACTTTTGGCAATGTCGTCTTGGTCACATTAACATCAAACGCATCAAGAAACTTCTTCAAGAAGGTGTTCTTGAATCATTCGACTTAGAGTCGTTTGAAAATTGCGAAGGATTTCTGTTAGGCAAGATGATAAAGCAACCATTCTCCAAGTTGGGAGAAAGGGCAAGTGACTTATTGGGTCTAATACATACGGATGTATGTGGACCACTGAGTACACCCGCAAGGCATGGTTATAGATATTTCTTTACCTTCACGGACGACTATAGTAGATATGGCTATGTCTACCTTATGCCAAACAAATATGAATCTTTTAAGAAATTCAAAGAGTTTCAGAGTGAAGTTGAAAATCAGCTTGGTCAGAAAATCAAAGCACTTCGATCGGATCGAGGTGGAGAGTATTTGAGCCATGAATTCGACGATCACTTGGCTTGGAAAATGTTTTTCAATGAAGGATTTAGGAGAGGCACAGTACATATTGGGCATCAAAATCTATAGGGATAAATCTAAGAGGATAATTGGATTGAGCCAAAGTACATATATTGATAAGGTATTGGAACGATTCAACATGGAAGGGGCTAAGAGAGGGCACCTACCCATGTCCCATGGCATAACTCTCAGCAAGAAGTAGTGTCCACAAACACCTGATGAGCGAAAGAGGATGAGTCAGATTTCATATGCTTGCTTATTGGATCGATCATGTATGCCATGATATGTACTACGCCGGATGTATCGTATGCCTTAACTGTTATGAGCCGATACCAATCAGACCCAGGAGAGGCGCATTGGACTGCGGCCAAGAATATCCTAAAGTACCTGAAAAGGAACAAGGATAAGTTTCTGGTCTATGGTGGTTGTAATGATTTGGTTGTTGAAGATTAAATACTGACGTGACCTTCCAGACTGACAGAGATGACTCCAAGTCGCAGTCAGGGTACATATTCTGCCTAAATGGAGGAGCGTTTAGTGGGAAGAGTGCTAAGCAAAGCACCACTGCAGATTCTACAACTGAACCCGAATACTTGGCAGCTTCGGAAGAAGCTAAGGAGGCAGTTTTGATTCGTAAGTTCATTAGTGCACTTGGTGTTGTACCCTCCATCAAGGGTCTGATAGACCTCTATTGTGACAACAATGGAGCTATTACTAAGGCCAAGGAGCCAAGGGAACACCAGAAGGTCAAACATGTTAAGCGGCGATTTTACATGATAAGGGAGTGGAAATCCCAGGGTGAAATTAGAATTTGTAAGATTGGAACGGACGACAATCTAGCCAATCCATTGACTAAACCTATGCCTAAAGTGAAGCACAACAAGCACGTTGAGGCAATGGGGATCAAGCATGTTGAAGATTGGCTTTGAACTCCCTGTATATGTGTTTTAATTAAACTTGATGCTTTAATGTAAACACCATTCAATTTTGGAGCAATCAAATTTTCTGCAAATTTATTATTACTCCATTTCTATTTAATTGTGGTTTAGAATTAAATAATGAGTCCATTCGATTACTGAGAATAATAAAACAGGGTATTAAGATCATGTCTTGGATAAAGAAACACCTGTTAAGTGAACATTGAATATTTTAATCGGAAATCATCCCTAATCAAGGTCATTTAAACGATGGATGATTAATGACCACTTGAGATTATTGTGTAGTATGATTTATAGCACCGTTTCTTGTGCTAAGAGGACATGATTATCATAAATCGTTTGCACAGGTACTTTAAGAGATATAAAATCGTCATAAGTATATTTCTCTTGTTTGAGTACTAGTCGTTTTGATGTTGTCAAACGTCTGCCGTAAATGGGGATTATAACGGCAACACTCAGGCGACTAGGTCCTCTTAGTAAGGGAAGCTTATAGTTAAAGACTGGGAATGTCCCCCTATTAACAATAGGGAATATGTCTTTGTTGTTTAGAAGGCCTCTCGAAGAGCGAGACTGTGAAAATGCATGGTCGTGCTCAGATGGATTTTAGAAATCATCTGTTTATTGACATTTAAACTCGGGAATTGAGAAACACTTCTGGACGTAATAAGGGTGACGAAGAATCTTACCTTATAGTGCATGAAGAGACATTAAGCGACATAGGAAAAGGGTTATACACTAATAGCACACTTGTCCGGAAAGACAAGTGGGAGATTTAAAGGAATGGTGTCCTTCCAACAAGTGTATTATTCTGATAGAGGGTTCGGAATTATTAGAAAGCTAATTAGGGAGGTCAAGTGATCGGAATGCCTAGGTGGAGGCCGCTTCCGATCAGTACTATTAATGCATAATTAAAATTACGGCTTAATCTTGACTGAACCCTTCGGGTCGCACCCCAATCGAATAATCGATCCGAATCGACAAATCAATCTGAAGGATTAGATGAGTCATTAGAGTATTACGAAAAAGACGTCAAAATATCGAGCTTAGAGCGTCGCAAGTTAAGTAAAATTTACAATTCGACGAGACATAAAATCAAGCAACAACAAGTTTTGAGCCTAGCCGTAGCCACACATTGGCCTAGCCATGCAAATGCTTGGCTAGGCATGGTCACCAACCCATGTGCATCATGGGTACCTAGCATCTCCCAGCACACGCACATCGCATGACATAAGCATCGCAAGATGCGTGCATGCGTGTGGTGTGGCTGTGCATGTGTGGCTAGGCGTGCTAGCATAGAAGCGCTAGCCATCGCATCATGCAAGGCATGGGCTAGCACATCCCGCAAGCATCGCAAGCATGGTGCGTTGCGTGCTTGCTAGCATGCTAGGCTAAGCACCTAGCCATCGCTAACACCAAGCATAGGAGTGTGCTAGGCCTTGCGTGCTAAGGCCTTGTGCCCAGCCCGTCGCAGCCTCTCACCAAGCAGCAACATCGCATAGCAGCGTGCTAGGCATGTTGAGCTATGCGTGCATGCTTGCATAGCAGCGCCTACCAGCAGCACGGCAGCATCACAAGCATGCTGGCTGGCTGTGCATGTGCTGCGGGCTAGTGGCGATGTGCTGGCTAGCTTGTTGTGCATGCGGTGCGGGCTGGTTGGTTAGGTTTCCGAGCCTTGGTGCTAGGTGCCAGCTGGAAGCCTTGGCATCCAATGTAGGCTTCCAGCCAGACAAGTGGTGGAGTGGTCCAGTTTTGAGTGGGTACCGATTTCAAGGGCCTTGCTTGATGAGCAAGGCTATGGTCCCCCCCCCCAAGAAATGGTCCTCACCTAATTCTTCCTCTCCTATTCCCACTTGTAGCTTGTTGATTGATTTAGCATTTTATTTTGTTTTTGATTAAAATAAAATAAGGGATAATGCAAATCTCCCACGTTGATTGAGAATGGGAAATCAAGGTTCATTTCCCTTTAAATACCCATGTTTTGGGTTTTGGGAAGAATACTTGTGTGGAACTAAAAAGGCATCTCCTTAGTAAAGTGAGAAAACCTTAAGTTCGTAATACTCTATGTTTTTATTGGTCAAGTCCCGACTAACCTTAGGGACTAGGACCGTTTGGGTCGGGTCGAGGGTGCGAGCCATAGGAAGTCGTCGCACTTGCGGGGCTCGTGTTTTGAAGTAAGAGCTCGTGAATCGAGCGAAGCACGGTCAAGGGTAAGAATGTCTTTTCTCTTTCTCTCTTTTATGTTGTTAAGTATGTGATTAAATATTTAGTTTCTTTAATTAGTGAGCGGGTCTTGGGCGGGTCTCTCTTTCGGGTAGTGTTAGACGCTACGAAACCCAACAGGTGGGCGCCGGCCGGTGGGCAGCCGTGGTGGTGGCTGGGGATGTGGTGTGTGTGTGGGTGGCGATGAACCAAAAATAAAATAAAGGGGAAGGGGAAAAATTAAGGGGGAAAGAAAATAAGAGAGAGAGGGTGTTTACGTTTGGGTATTCTCTACCTTAGGCAAAGTTTGATTTTGCTCATATGATGGGTATTTATACCCCCTCTTAATAACCCTCCTACTTAAAATTCCTTTACTACCTTTAATGATCTCTTTCCTATTTAAACTAACATTTTGACTTTCCTTTAACACCATTAACTTTAAAATTTACCTTTTTATAAAATAATATGCCCCAATGATTTTAAATTATAAATAAAGTATTTCCAAAATTATTAAATAAATACATTGGACCTTTAATTTAAAACTAAAACTCTTTAATTTAGTAAAATATCATAAATAATTCATTTTAACTCATTTAAATACTGTAAGAAATACTCATATAAATTAAAATACGTATAAAAATGCGGGGTATTATAGTCTAACTCCCTTAAAAGAAGTTTCGTCCCGAAACATGGGTAACGAAATTCAAACTTTTTACTCACTTTGTATAATATTGTTGTACTCTTTTGTCATACTTTTGCCTTTAATGTCTCTTTGAAATCAAAATTACTCGAAATAACCGTTAAAAATGTGTAAAAAGCACAAAAATAACTGAAAATATAGGCAAAAGCGCGAAATTCTACCGCATTCTACCCCCCTTAAAGAAAACGAGTTACGTCCCCGTAACTCAACATACCTTAAAAAACTCGAGATATTTCTCTTTCACCTCATCCTCAGCTTCCCAAGTTGCTTCCTCATACTCTTGGTTATACCACAGCACTTTAACAATCTTAACTTCCTTATTGCGTGTACTACGCACTTTACTGTCAAGGATCTTGACATGTCTTTCGTCGTAAGTTAAGCTTTGATCAAACTCAATGGTTTCGGGTTATAGCACATGCGACTTATCAGGGATATACCTTCTTAACTGAGATACATGAAATACATCATGCACTTTGCTTAGCTGCATAGGTAAGGCCAACCTATAACCTACATTGCCTATCCTTTGCAATATTTCATATGCACCAATATACTTTGGGCTCAGCTTTCCTTTCATTCCAAATCTCATTACACCTTTCGTTGGTGACACCTTTAACAATACTTTGTCACCGACCTCAAATTCCTCCACTCTACGTTTCAAGTCCGCGTAGCTCTTTTGGAGATCTTGCGCTGCTTGAATCTTAGCTTGAATCTCCCTTACCTGCTTAATTGTATCCTTGATCATTTAAGGCCCTAAGGTTATTGTTTCACTCATGTCGTTCCAACAGATCGGACTGCGACACTTCCTTCCATATAATGCCTCAAATGGAGTCATGCCAATGCTTGCATGGTAGCTATTATTATAGGAAAATTCAATTAAGTCTAAGCTATCTTCCCATCCTTCTTGGAAATCTATAACACAAGCCATCAACATGTCTTCCTGTGTTTGAAGGGTTCTCTCAGTTTGCCCATCTGTGGCAGGGTGAAATGTCGTACACATCTTAAGTGTTATACCAAGTTTTCCTGCACACTGTTCTAGAACTTTGAAAGAAATCTTGAATCTCTGTCAGACACAATATCTTTTGGAACTCCATGTAATCTCACCACATTTTTTATGTAAGCTTTTGCAAGTTGCTCCATCTTCCAAGTCTCCTATTGATATGAACACTGCATATTTCTTAAGTCTATCCACCACTACCTAAATGGTGTCATTTCCACTCTTTGAATTTGGGAGGAAAATCACAAAGTCCATTAAAATAAATCCCATTTCCATCTAGGAATTTCCAATGATTCACAGTTCTTTGCGGTCTTTTGTGTTCTATCTTCACTTTCTGACAAGTTAGACACTTTGCCACAAATTTCGCAACCTCATCCTTCATTCTGGGCCACCAATACATATTTTTCAAGTCCTTATATAGCTTGTCCCCTCCTGGGTGTACTGAATACGGTGTATTGTGGCCTTCTACCATCGACTTTCTCTTTACCGCTTCACATTTTTGTGGTACACACCAACGACCCTTGTACCTTAAACTCCTATCTTCATCAATTTTGAAATCTGTAGCTTTTCCTTACTTTATTTTCTCACGAACCCTATCCAACTTTACATCCTCTGCTTGATTTTCCCTTATCTCATCAAATATTGTTGGTTGAATACTTAGGTTTACAAGTATGCCTGCTGGCACCCCCCATTCTACAACTTCTTGGTTCATTTTCCTCATTTCTCTACACAACTCATCAACCACTATCAAAGTGTTTAGTCCATGACTGGTTTTACAACTTAGAGCGTTTGCAACTACATTTGCTTTCCCTTCATGATATTGTATGTCTAAGTCATAATCCGTCGTATATTCTAAGCATCTCCTTTGGCCTAAGTTTAAATCCCTTCGAGTGAAAATGTATTTCAAACTTTTATGGTCTGTATAAATCCTACATTTCACTCCATACAAGTAGTACCTCTAAATCTTTAGCGCAAAAATGATTGCAGCTAGTTCTAAGTCATGAGTAGGGTAATTTACTTTATAAGTCTTTAACTGTCATAATGCATACGCAATCACTTTCCCATTTTGCATATGTACACATCCCAGACCATTCTTGGATGTGTCACTATATACATCATAAATTCCACTATCGTCCGGTAGTGTAAGCATTGGCACTGTGATTAGCTTTTGTTTCAAGAGTTAGAATGCTTCCTCACACTTGTTAACCCAATCAAACTTCTTGTCCTTCTTCATTAGAGGGGTCATAGGTTTAGCAATCTTCGAGAAATCTTTCACAAAACCCCTATAACACCCTGCTAAACCTAAGAAACTCTTAACGTCAGACACTGTTTTAGGCGTAGGCCAACCTTTCACTGCCTCGATCTTTGCTGGATCTACTTCTACCCCATCTTTGGACACAAAATGGCCCAGAAATGCTACTCTCTCCAACCAAAACTCACATTTAGAGAACTTGGCATAAAGCTTGTTTTCCCTTAGTGTTTGCAGAATAGCCCTCAGATGTTCTACATGTTCTTCTTTACTCTTCGAATACACTAGTATATTATCTATGAACACTACCATAAACTTGCCCATAAATGGATGAAACACCCTGCTCATCAAGTCCATAAAGATTGCAGGAGCATTCATCAATCCAAAAGGCAATACTGTGAATTTATAATGTCCATATCTTGTTCTAAATGCAGTCTTGGGAATATCTTCATCTGCAATTCTAAGTTGATGGTAACCAAACCTTAAATCAATCTTAGAGAGCAAAGTTGCGCCTCTCAGCTTGTCAAATAGGTCATTAATCCTTGGTAATGGGTACTTGTTCGTTATGGTGACCTTATTTAACTCCCTATAGTCAATACATAACCTCACTTCTATCTTTGTTATTCACAAATAACACTGGCGCTCCCCAAGGTGATGCGCTTGGTCTTATATATCCCTTTTCTAATAAATCCTACAATTGCTCCCTTAACTCATTCATCTCTGCAGGTGCCATTCGATATGGTGCCTTGGAAATTGGTGTTGTTCCTGGAACTAGCTCTATGGTGAAATCAATTGCCCTTTTGGGTGGCATTCCAAGAATCTCTTCTGGAAACACATCTAGAAACTCATTTACTACTTCTATATCCTCAGGCTTAGTTGACTCTTCATGTTCCATATTCCTCACACTACAAAAATACACTAGATGCCCCTTCTTAATATACTTTACCAATTTTAACACAGATATGATCCTTGGGCACTTAGTTTCACCATGCATCCAATGTGTCACTAACTCGTTATTAGCTGTACTCATTTTTACTTTCTGTGATCGACAACTAATCTTTGCGCTGTACTTGCTCAACCAATCCATTCCCAAAATGACATCAAAGTCACTCAACCCAAACTCAATGAGATCTGATAAAAACACTTTTCCTTCAATTTCTAAAGGTACATCTCTAAAGGTCATGTTACACTTTGCTACCCCACCCGTAGGAATAACTATTGGAAAATCTACCTCATCTGCGGTTTTCAAACAGTTTGATAATTTTGAAACAATGGCCTTTGAAATGAAAGAAAAAGTTGCACCAGAATCAAACAAGACTTTAACAGGAATAGAGTTAATAGAAAAGGTACAAGTGATGATATATTTTGTGGAATCAGCCTCATGCCTACTCATTACATTCAACTTTCCTGCAACTCCACCTTTCTATTGGTTATTTCCACTATTATTGTTGGTTTTATCGCATTCTGCATGGCCCCCTTGTTCCCATAATAGTTGTTGCTTCCCTGAAAGTTTCTCTAAGCCCCTCCTTGATTATTGCCCTGTTTATTTCGATTGGAATCCTTAGAGAAACATTCATACTTCCTGTGTCCTAACATGTTAGAAGCACAACAGGTAACCAAATTTCCATCACAATCCTTACTAGGGTGATCGTTCTTACACCTCTTGCAGTAAAAATGCCTTGCTCCCCTATTATTTCCCTGGGTAGAGTTCCTAGCTCCACCATTAAAGGTCCGACCACCTAAGCGATTGCTGCCTTGGAAATCATTGTTGTTGTGGAAGTTGTTGTTATTATGGTTGTACTTCTGTTTCTTAAAGTTGTTTTGGTTACCTTGTGGGTTTCCAGAGTTCTATCCCACCTCTTTTCTATTTTCCTTTCCTTTCATTTCAGCTATTTCTTTCCTTTTCTTTAATTCTAAGGCACATAGGTGTGCAACTCTACCATATATTTCATCCAAGGTTTCAAATACTTGCCCACACAGCTTTAATTGCAAATCAGTAGTCAGTCCAATCTTAAACTTCCTAGCCTTAGACTTTTCTGTGCAGACAGACTCTTTAGCAAATCGTGACAGCTCAATAAACTTGGTGTAGTATTCAGTGACCGACATATTTCCCATTGCAAGGTTAGAAAATTCCTCAGCTTTTTGTTTCTGTAAGAAGCTAGGGTAAAACTTATCCCTAACCTTCTCTTAAAACATCGCCTAGTAGAATCCAGGTAGTGCCTTAATGGTAGCTTCATTTTGCTACCACCAAAGGTCAGCTTCACCTCTGAGGTAATAGGTAGCACAACCTACTTTGGAAGTTTTCGGACACCCTACTGCCTCAAACAATTTCTCAAACTCCCTCAATCAGTATTCCAGTATAGTTGGATCAGGCTCTCTTAGATAGGTTGGTGGCTTGCTCTGCGCCACCTTCTTAAATAGCTCTCCTTCAGCATCTACATTATTGGTTGAGTTCCTTGATAATTGTTGGGCAACAACTGCCAATTGCCTCACAACTTCACTTAATTCTCCTCCATCGTTGTTGTTACCACTCACCTCCTGCCATCTTTCTTCACCTGAATTAAAACAAAGGGGTCTTTATTAAATACGATCTCGGCTAGCTCTTAAGTTATACACCCATCTAACTAATTAATACCCTAGAAGCATACACATAAAATTTTAAGCTAACAAATTGGGATTGTAAAAGTTAAAATTCCCAAAATTTGCAGCTTTGTGAACCAAATATTGATTGCTAACCAACCACACATTTAAGAAAGCATCTCATTAATAAATAAAAATAATTCCCATGGATTCCCAGAGCTTAGAAACAAATTATTGGAATATTTGTGAGTAACAAATGGCTTCTTGGAGTAGTGATACGAAATGAATGATTTGGGAATGAAATGAATTATTTGTTAATAAAATTTATTAATTGACAAGGAAATAAATGAGATTTTATTGCTGAGTAAGAAAATGAATGGAATACTAAAATAAAATGAGTTTAAATAACACTTATTGCTTTACTGAAACTGAAATAATTAAAATGCGGAAATGAATCTAAGAATCTTAAAAGAAATGAAACTACAAAAATCTAGTCATTTCGAACATTATCCTTATTGTCGGTAGATTGTTTGTAGCTTCTAGGATCGAATTCGGGGTCTTCTTCTTCCTCCATTGGCTCAGGTGTGATGTGATTTTTAGTCCAAAAACTAAGCCTCACAAAGATCTGAATCTAACCTAATTCTATACAGAAAATTCACCAAGAATTAAGCAAGAAACTTAGATTAATTAATCAAGAATCCACCTAATTAATCAACCTAGGTGATAGTTTTAACTAAAACAAACAAAACAACAAATTGGAATCCACCAATCAAGAATTTAAGTAATCCAACTTAAATAAAAGCAATAAGTAATATTATTATGAATGTATGATTAAACTTGTCAGCTATTATTCGAAGATTACAACCCTATATTTATAGGCTCAATCAACTATCCTAAACCCACTTGAATTAGAATTCTAATCCCCTAACAAAAACCCACGGATTGCATAACTTAATCAAGTTTATATAACTTGCCTATTTTATCCTAACTAAAGCTTGCACTCCAAGCTATTATTGACGCCTACTACACTAAACACAATTCCTAATCAACTTAGGAACTCACTTTGATAAAAACAAATCCTAATCAACTTAGAAACTTTCTTAGCTAAAACTAGTCCTAATCAACCTAGGAACTTATTAAGCTAAAACAATTCCTAATGAAATTAGAAATCCTAAGTGCTTAAAACAAGAAAAACCCTTTCAAGTGAAAGGTAAAAACTTGTAAGCAAAAACCTAAGTAAAGACTCACAAAATAAAACTAAGGAAAAGAAATCATTATTTTCATATCGCCGCCAGAACACCACTTCACGCGCCACCACTTGTGACACGCGCCACACCACCTTGTAGCTGGGCTCAGTCCGGTGCTGGAAGGCAGGCGAGTGGGACCCATCTCGGCACGTGGCCGGCTGTATCGTCGCCGGAAGTGAACTGCGCAACTTCTTTGTTCCTGGAAATCATGCTTCTTTCTTTCCAATTTAAGCTATTGAACCTTTCCTTGATTATTTCCTTGTTTGGGAAGCCTATAATGGAGTTGTTTAGACCATCTAAAAGTACATTAGATCCTTCAAAATAATTATCTTCTTAATTCGCATCAAGGTGTTTCTGGATCTTGCTCTACTTGGACAGATTTTTCATCTTCCTCATCGTTAGATGAAATGTCGATTATAATTAGAGTTGGAGGTGGATTTGGATTTTGAATCTCCATAATGGAACTATAAACAGTATGGTTACTGTCATCCATTAAATCTCCTTCCTCTTGCCCTCCATTTGTTCCTTCTTGATTACTCTGAGTAGGAGAAGAACTTCCTGACTAATGACTAGTGGAAGGGGAATTATACCCTGCTGGATTATCATTGTAGTAATTGGGATATAGAATGTGTAAGCGCTCACAATGATATTTCTCAACTCTAACGAGGTAAGAAATTAGGTACCTAAAATCTGGATACCACTGGCCATAATAGTCTCTGTATTTAGAGTAGTTTGGGATGTCCCCTGGTAAATAGAAATCAGAAAATTTTGATTTGACAGCAACATATGGGGGTTCATCTGTAAGATAGTGAATAATCATAGTAGAAACTCAATCAAGAAGGTCATAGTGCTTGTCTCCTAAGACATCGCTCATATGGGAACAATAGAATCTAATTTTCTTGACATACTCAAACGGATGTTCATTGTTTTTCTTAATTAGAGTACCAATTTGGGAATGTTTGCTAGGAAGAATCGGCATCCTGTAAAGGAAAAGGCTTAGAAAAGAAATCTATATCTAACAAAATAAAATAATACAGTTCGTGCATGAATTAGGTTCAATGTTCAATCAAACAATTTCACCTTTTTCTAACCATATAATCACATGCTTTCAATTAATCAATCCACAGGATCAAATATCACAACCTAAAATTTAATGCATACAAGAAAATGATCAAATATCAACATGCTTTTATGAACTTTTAACACATAATACTTACCTCAATCCTTGCTTTCCTGCAAAATGAACAAACAGAAAAATATTTTTGACTCTTCTTTAAAATATATTTTTTTAAAATAAGCACCGAAAAAGGCCCAAATATTTGGCCACCATAAAATAAATATTCGAACACCTTATTTTAAAATAAAATATTTCGGTCCTCTTAAAATAAAAAAAGAATAAAACAACTCACTTTTTAAAATTACTTGATTAAATAAACACTTGGCCAAGTTTAAAACAAAATATTTTAAAACACATTTTTAGCTTTATTTTAAAAGCTCCCAGATACCACTTTATAACACCCTAGAAATTTCTTTCCTTAAAAATACCTGTTTTCCCATTTTAAAATACGAAATAGGAAATCTAAGACATTACCGCCACCGTGAAAACGGCTAAAGAAATTATCCAAGACACACAGCGGAAGATTAACTTTAAAACCATTCAAAACACGTCAACTCAAAAGTCAAACCAAAGTCAAACGAAGTCAACCTACAACTTGGAACCATTGTAGGCCCTTAAAACCAAACAATACTGAAAACCTTACGTTAGCCTTGAGTAGGGGATTTTTACCCCGCCACATGGACCAATCAGGGTTCGCCACGTGGACTAATCCGAGTCCGCCACATGTCATCATAAGGAGAGCCAAAGTGGACCAACCAGTTAACGACACGTGGCAGACAAATATTTGGCAGCTTTCAAGGGCCAAATCCCCAGGCAACCCGTCACTCTTAGGTTTCTTAACCTAGGATGGGCACGTATTTTGAGACCCTATAAAAGGGAGATGTTTCCTTAAAGAAAACACAACATTGAATACATTCAACACATTCAATTCATACGAATTACGAGAGTAAATACTCAGATATTGAGGTTGTCTATGATAGCCGGATTATCATTTCTTACCGTAGGGAAACGTGATCCCACTTTACATTCTGCACTTTTTATCTTCCGAACACGTTCTAACTTGATCTTCGGAGGCGGAACTCCACCCAACCGGAGTCTCCATTGTTTTGCAGGTACAGGCGTCCGAAGTCCAGTCTTAGTGTTGTAACTCTCCCGAGGGACACAGAAAACCTCGAAACATTTGGCGCCATCTGTGGGGAGAGTACTTCTAAGATGGCTTCACAAGAACCTGTACCGCCTCTTATTGAGAATTGCCCTATGGCCGACGCTCAAGTCTATATGGACAAAGACACTTATGACAACTTTGAAGTCAAAACATATGTGGCTGCCGGCGGTTCACTCAGAACAAGACGCACTAGTCCCAGAGAAAGAAGGGAACCGGGCAATGATCAAGCAGATCCAAGTCAACCATTCGGACAGTCGTTTGGACAACCCCAGGCGGCCAAAAGCACAACCCTAATCACCCGAGACGACCTCATGAGATTCATGACAAGTTTAAAGGGGGAGAAAAAGGACCTCATCGATAAAAAGTCGGTTGGCTCTACCAAGGAGCAGTCGGCCAATAAGCCTTTCCATTCTGGGAGGAACAATTCTGTCAAGGACGGAGAACCCACTCCGCATCCGAAATCAAAGGAGGGGAAGCGGCCCTTGATCGATCTTACAAAGATCTGATTCCCTGAGACAAGGACGAGGAAGGTCATACGACACGTCTAGCCGGATGACACAAAGAAGACTTATTCTGATGCCCGGATGATAATCCAGCAGAAGAAGAGTTAACAGCTATTTGAGTCGGCTTCATCGTCGAGTTACCCAAACAGCTTTCAGATTACCTCAAAGAGGTATTCGCAATCAAACTGAGAGGGTCAGTCAGGTGGCATGTCCGTGCACTCTGGCCTTTAGATAATCCATTCGACTCCATATGTGCCTCAGCAGCCATGCATATCGTATGGACAACCTTACATGCAGCCGGCCCTCTTTGGGGTGCAGGTGGCACAAAACGTCCAACCTTTAGACTGGCAGCTCCGTCTGCTAAAACTTGGGGAACAACCTTTAGCGTTCTCCAAGGAAATAACCGAGGCGGCACAGCCCGCCTATGTATTTACAGGGCTTGGATGATGCCGCATGGTACCATCAACCCAGAAGATTACCTCATGGCTTACACC